TACAAAGGCCGTGTCTCCGGTTAAGCAGAGGGTTGTGTATCACTATCCCCTCCCCCTTGAATGAAGGCTGGTCAAAATGAAGATGCACCATATGGCCAAAAGTATGTAGAAACCAAGAAACCACCCCCATCCCCCTTCCTCCAAATGATTGAGTTCTGGAGAATGATATTATCAATCTTACAGTATACAAAGACTTAAGTGTCCCTCATCTTCCTGCTGATATTGTACACCAGGAAGATGGTTGACCATTACTCTACTCTATATGGCCAAAACTCTGTTGACTCCTCTCCAAATGATGGACTTCAGGTGTCTCCTGTCAAGGTCCGACAATGTACAAAGACCTTGTAGAGAATTGGTCTTCCAGCCTTGTGGTAATGGTTTGGAGAAGGCCCTTTTCTGTTCCACCATGACTGTCCCGTGTGTGCAAAACCTGACACGGTGTGACCAGCTTGGTGTGGAGGAACCCGAGTGTCCTGCAGAGCCCTGACCTCAACCCTACTGATCACCTTTGGGATGACTGCAGGTCAGCAAAGCCAGGACCATAAAGACATGGTGTGACCAGCTTGGAGTGGAGGAACTCGAGTGTCCTGCAGAGCCCTGACCTCAACCCTACTGATCACCTTTGGGATGACTGCAGGTCAGCAAAGCCAGGACCATAAAGACATGGTGTGACCAGCTTGGAGTGGAGGAACTCGAGTGTCCTGCAGAGCCCTGACCTCAACCCTACTGATCACCTTTGGGATGACTGCAGGTCAGCAAAGCCAGGACCATAAAGACATGGTGTGACCAGCTTGGAGTGGAGGAACTCGAGTGTCCTGCAGAGCCCTGACCTCAACCCTACTGATCACCTTTGGGATGACTGCAGGTCAGCAAAGCCAGGACCATAAAGACATGGTGTGACCAGCTTGGAGTGGAGGAACTCGAGTGTCCTGCAGAGCCCTGACCTCAACCCTACTGATCACCTTTGGGATGACTGCAGGTCAGCAAAGCCAGGACCATAAAGACATGGTGTGACCAGCTTGGAGTGGAGGAACTCGAGTGTCCTGCAGAGCCCTGACCTCAACCCTACTGATCACCTTTGGGATGACTGCAGGTCAGCAAAGCCAGGACCATAAAGACATGGTGTGACCAGCTTGGAGTGGAGGAACTCGAGTGTCCTGCAGAGCCCTGACCTCAACCCTACTGATCACCTTTGGGATGACTGCAGGTCAGCAAAGCCAGGACCATAAAGACATGGTGTGACCAGCTTGGAGTGGAGGAACTCGAGTGACCTGTACAAAGCCCTGACCTCAACCTTTGGCATGAACTGGAATGCCGATGGCAAGCCATGACTTCATGTCCTGACCTCACTGGATGATTGGGCACAAGTTCCCACAGACATACTCTAAAATGTAAAAAGCCTTCCTAGAAGACAGGAGTACATCATGGCCACAAGGAAGGGGGCAGATATTCATGTCCATGGTTTTAAAATAGGATCTTCTACAAGCTCATAAAAGGTGTGACGGTCAGGTGTCCACAGACTTTTAGCCACACGGTGTAACAGATCATGTAAGAAAATGGATCCCACCTCAGAAACTATGGACCAGCAAGCTGAGCTCGGCTTCCAGACAGCTGCTGTGGTTTGCAAGTCATCCATATTAATTAAAACATGGAAGCGCAAGCATGTGACGTGTAGAAAAATACGCGAGAGCTTCCAAAGAAATACCCCGACTGGTTGTGTTCGCTTGACTTATAAAATGACCGATTTGTGTTTTCCATATGTTCAAAAGTAAATTAAAATCTACTGAACGGTTTGCAGAACAAACCCCTACAGCAGAAAGAATTCTGTCGCTGTCTGCACTGTGATCAGCAAGAACGTACCCGGATCATGTCATGGCCAGGCCGCCCCTGGCTACGCTCAGTATTCTATGTGCACAGGCGGGCATTGCACCACAAAAGGTACGAGAGATCATGAAAATAAAGTGAAGTGGGGGGATGATAAACCCTAAAAAGACGAGCTGGACTTCCAGAAAGTTCCTACGGTCGGAGCGGTCACGGCAGCACTTTAAATACTGCTCCGTCCATCTTGGGCATCGGCCTTTCCCATAGGGACTGTTCTCCATAGTATACAAGTGTTCATACTATAAAGGCAGCAGCTGAGTGCCATGAGATAAAACAAACCCCCCTCCTCTGAATTCTGCCCCTAGTGGGCCCAACCAGAGGCAATGGTAAGAACAGCCCTGCGGATCCCTCATAACCAGATGTTGGACATTAGACTATAAACATGATACAGATATCGCATTGTGCTCCATGGTGCCAAAAGACTCGCTGGCTCTGGCTCCTGTGCCATGACCTTCACCCGGATACTAGTCGCAGCCTGGCTCCAGTTACATCACATGTGCACAAGAGCAGGTCAAAAGTAATCCGAACATACAGAGAAATAAAGGAAGGAAGGGAGGGAAGGAAGGAAGGAGGAGGCAGGCTGGTCTGGGAACATTCAATTGGTCTAATATTTACAATAAAGCAGTCCTGTTATGTTCTCCAGTGGTCTGATAGAAGAAGAAGTGGACTGTTGGTTTCTAGTGGCCCGATAGAAGAAGTGGACTGTTGGTTTCTAGTGGCCCAGCGGAAGAAGAAGAAGTGGACTGTTGGTTTCTAGTGGCCCAGCAGAAGAAGAAGTGGACTGTTGGTTTCTAGTGGTCCAGCAGAAGAAGAAGAAGTGGACTGTTGGTTTCTAGTGGACCAGCGGAAGAAGAAGTGGACTGTTGGTTTCTAGTGGTCCAGCAGAAGAAGAAGTGGACTGTTGGTTTCTAGTGGTCCAGCAGAAGAAGAAGTGGACTGTTGGTTTCTAGTGGTCCAGCAGAAGAAGAAGTGGACTGTTGGTTTCTAGTGGCCCAGCAGAAGAAGAAGTGGACTGTTGGTTTCTAGTGGCCCAGCGGAAGAAGAAGTGGACTGTTGGTTTCTAGTGGTCCAGCAGAAGAAGAAGTGGACTGTTGGTTTCTAGTGGTCCAGCAGAAGAAGAAGTGGACTGTTGGTTTCTAGTGGTCCAGCAGAAGAAGAAGTGGACTGTTGGTTTCTAGTGGCCCAGCGGGCCAACGCTGATCTGGGTGGGGATGGACAAAGTTCCAGAAGTTGATTTCTTTACACAACTTCTGCAGACTGCAAGCCGATCTTCTCTTCCTCCTCTAGTCATTCCGTGTTGGGCTTTTTGAGTGAAAACGGTAAGATGTTGAAGTGTTTACTGAGCTGATTGACCTGCAAGAGGAAGAAGAAAAAAGGAACGGTCAGCTATGAGCAAATCCACCATGTGGGCCATCATCAGAGAGACAGACTTCAGCTTTGTGTTGGTGTATCTATCACTTGCCACATTGATTGACAGGTTGTCCGAGAGGTTACTTTCCATATTTATATGCCTTCCGGTTTCACAGCCGATATACCAGAACGTATTTAAAGTGACATTAAAAAGGAGAACCGCATAGTTGGAGCCCACGTGTGACAATGAAACCGTCACACGTCGTCTCTATAGATCGGGAGGTGAGAGAACACATACCGTTGCTCGCTCACTTCTCGATCCTGTCCCTGCAGAGAGCCGTGACTGTGTCACTCACGGCTCCCTGCAGGGATTCCCCCCCTCCCTGCTCCGATCCGCCAGCGCTGACTGGCGGAATGGACGGGGGAGGGGGCGGGTACAGCTGGCTCTGCCTCTAGATAGCTGGGTGGATCTCAACAGTAATGTCGGGATAGATGCATGCGGGGAGAAGGGAAGACGCAGGTACGACAGAAAATCTGGGTCATTCCTAGAGACCACCTTTGTACGCATTTTCACACAGAGTCCAGTATAGCGCTCCGAACGCCAGTAAAGTCTGCCATAGTAACCAGAGAAAAGGGGCCCCACTCACCACTGACACTCCGTAGTGTATGTGTGCGATAGTTACTAGCACTGTCAGCAGAACCAGCAGGAGAGCTTCATTTTCATTGGCGAACCCCGAGACCACGGCAAGGACCACCAACGTCAAGGGGATGAGCAGCCAGCTCAGAGGTTGGCATCTGGTATTACTCATCTGACACACAATCAGCTTACACTGCAACACAACAAGAAGAAAAAAAAGACACGTTAGAGAGAAGACAGAAAACCAGACAGAAGAGGAACAATTATTTATTTATTAAAATATTCTGAATGACATCGCGAACCTCCTCCTGGAAATGTTAGTCCCTGTCTGCCATGCTGGCCCCTAAAAGAGAACTATGGGTTAAGTGATGTTCCCCATAGTTCTCTTAAAGGGGAACTATGGGGTCGGGGCTTTTCCCCATAGTTCTCCTTTAAGGGTCACGGGAGGACACAAACTAGCGTCCTCCCGTCACCCTAGGCTCAGTATTGTGTGTTTTTGGGATTATAGTTTATATTAGCAGGGACTCCAAGGATGAACATGTGCCTATTAACAGCATGGAGTCCCAATGTTATGATATGGTGATGGTTACCGTGATATTGGCGAAGGTGGTCCCGACCATGTAGTAGAATAGACGAGGGTGGGCATCCAGGATCTTGGCAGGAGAAGCGAAGATCCAGAAGGTGGACAGTATGAAGAGCAGCACGGGAGAGATGATCGGCAGCATCGACTCGTATAAAGTTGTGTGTTTCAATGTGCTGTTGCGATAACCTCTGCAGAGAGAAAAGATTCAATAAAACGTTATGACAACATAGAAAACAAAACTAGACCGTTAGGCCGGGTTCACACCAAGCGCGGAGCAGGAGCAGAGCAGTTACAGACCGGATCAAAACTGCGTCCAATGTATTCCAATGGTATTTTTAGCTCCAGTTCACATCGCAGCGTTCCAGAGCAGGTAAAATAGGTCTTGCTCTGGATCTGCAAACGCATCAAAAACACATGCAAATGCCTGGAACGCACTGAAAGCCCATGTTAAATTATTATTTTTTTTAACCAAAAATCACCTGGAACGCATCAAAAATGCGGCACAACCCACTGCACTGCGTGTGCAGAAACCTGAGCGGATCTGCTCTGCATTTGGTGTGAACAATGCCTAAGGCCGGGTTCACACCTGGGCGTATTTTTTCTGCTCGTTTTTCCGCTCAGTGAAACGCGCGTTTCACTGGCGGTATGATTTTTTTTTTTTTTAACCTTACAGTATATTCTCTATTTTTTTAAAAAAAAGAAGGTTTTTCACTTTCAAACTTCCCGCCAGCTCCGCCCCCTTGCGTCGCGGCCGCTCGCAAGGGACGGAACCCGGAAGTCGGCAGCCGCCGGAAGGCAAAACGGGGATGGCGGACAATGTAAGACCTGTACCGCTGTATTCCCGAGTGTGGCTCGGGGGTTACCGCTTTGTTAACTCCGATCCACACTCGGGAATACCAATGGAAACGCGCGGAAAAACGCCCCAAAAGAAGCTCCTGTACTTCTTCGGGCGTAGGACGTTTTGCAGCGCGTTCCTACACGCTGCAATACGCCCAGGTGGGAACCATGCCCATAGGAAAGTATGGGATTTCACTTGCTGGGTCGTTTTACAGCGCGTCGATCAGCGCTGCGCTCAGGTGTGAACCCGGCCTTACTCGGGTTACAGGTGAGGTCCGCTGCACTGAGGCCAGGTGTACACCTGGGCGATCCATGACCATGTGGATTGCCGTGAGGTCACAGAGTAGCCTACCGCCGCCAATCGCGCTGGCGGTACCATTATTTCCTAATGTCGGGCGGGATTCTGCCCGTGTAACCACACGTCGTGTGTCGCAAAAAAGAAAAGGGAACATGTGCTTTTTTTCTGCGATTGCCGCACGTATGTAGATGTCACCAACACGACAGAAACACATAAGTCAGTGCAAATCCATTTATTGATGTCACTCGGAATGTAAAGCGCTTACGGGGCCGCACAGGGTCCCCTTCATCGGGCTCAGAGGAGACAATGTCTATGCGGCAATCACTGTGTGCAATTCCAGGACGCGCGTCCCGGATCTCCCAGGTCTGCACTGGCTTCTTATAGGTCTTCAGAACCCCTGAGGAGAGGCCGCCAATATTAATACAATACATTGAAGTCCAAGGATGAGAGAGAGGGACCTTTCCATAACGGCTGCACACCTGGGAACTGTACAGCAACTGTATAGTCCTACACATTTTGTTCTCTTACATCTTACTTATCCAGGCATAATTGTCGGGATCCGCTTCAGCGTCTCAGTATACCGCGAGCTGTAGCTCCCTATATACTGAGCCTAGGGTGACGGGAGGACGCTAGTTTGTGTCCTCCCGTTACCCTAAGGAGAACTATGGGGAAAAACACTGACCCCATAGTTCTCCTTTAATAAGGCGTTTGAAGTGGACATGAACTCCATGCTATTTTAAAGGGAACATCTAGAAAACGTTCAGCAGGACCCGAAAGATTTGCATTTTGTCCGGGATTCCTCCTGGTAAATACTGGTGCACTTCCTGTGTATCTGCAGTGCGGGATCTCAGGAACTGCTGCCTCCGACTGTCTCACCAGATCTGGATTGAGATTTGCTCACTAACTACTATGCTGCGCAGTTCTGCTGGCTGGAGAGGAAGCTGTACCTGAGGACCTGCAGATAAATATTTCAAATATTTCTATGCCTCCGCTTCATACAGCATGTGGATTAGTGTTTTCGGCATCCTTCCTGCCGCTTCTTTATGACTGCCACCTCTACACAGAGTCACGGTGTACAACAAGGCTTACTAGGTCAGGAATGTGGAAAGAACAGCTGCATGGAGTCTACGGGCAATACTGGTGACTAGACCTTTGTCCTCTGCTGCTGGCAGTACTACTGAGTATGCTCATGGAGGAGACTAAGGCCTCTGGGAACATTATAGATACATCCTAGTTGGTCTAAATTCACTTTCTATGCTTTATTCTGTCTACAGGGCTGGTGACCGGCAGAAAATGTATTGGAAGATAGCAATGACCTAGCTGCCTCGAGTTTGTGTATATTATATATATTTTTTTTTTTTTTTTT